TTTTTTCTTTTTGAATTCTTTTTGCGGTGTGTGAACGTATGATCCAGATTCAATCAATAAAGGTATGAAGTCCAACTGGTTGTGTACTGTGATGGTTGCGCATAGGAGCAAAAAGTTCACAGGGATTTGCTGTGGAAGATGCGCATGCCAGAGGGCTTGGAGTTGATTAGTTCATGCTGAGTCTGCTTGGTTTGCTAATCTGGAGAAAATATGGTCAAAGCTTTTTTTCTTAAACATTGTGGGACCAAAGCAGGCTATGAACTAGTGAATTCTGACTCAATTTTTCGTATCCTCACCGAATTTTGCCGTATGTTTCAACGCTTATTTCACCAATTGTTTTCCCCAAGTTGTTTTAGTTTCTTATATATTGAGTGGTGTGAACAGTAGTTGTAAACCATGGATATTTGTAATGGAATTCTTTGCTTTGTCCCCTTCTTTGATTGAAATGTGGCTGAATTTATTTCCGTACTCACCAAAACTCATGTATTGTACTTGTTGTTTGTTTGAAGTGCCTCCCGACCTCCAAAACCTCTCTAATTGGGCTACTTTCTTAACAACAGCTTTTAGACGACCTACTAGGAAAGGGGTGGCGAGAGTGAAGCTGACCATAACAAGATTGCAGGCATTAATTAGGTTTTTTTTATCAAGAGAGCAGAAAAGTTTCTATCAGGGTTTGGGCATGCTCGTTGCTTAAAAATTGCTTTCTTCTACGCAGCGCTTGTCAGGTTTTCACTATTTACAAATAGCTTAAAGTTACCCAAGGTCTAACTTTCCTTCCTGTAATAAGAGTGCTGTGTTCCTCATCGGTTCCATTTTTGCAGGAACTTGAAGAAGCAGAGGAAAAATTGACTTTGAGGACGAAAGAATATAAAGAAGCCATCAAACATAGAGAGTCGGCAAAAGCTGACTTTGAAGAGGTGACATCGTATCTTGCCAACAAACCTTCATTTTCATCAAATTCTCCTATTCCAGCTGAATAATGAACTGCTTGATGAGCGCAGCAAGACACGTCGACTCGAAAAAGAAGCGACCGAAGTGGAGACGAAGCTTGCCCAACTTCAGTCTCGAGTCGACACGCTCAAGGCAGATCTGAGAAAAGCTGAGAGCGGTAAGTTTACAATCAACTTTTGCGTCTTTTTGTTTACCTTCCTGGTTCTATTCATAGATGGTGTAGTTATTTGAACAATACCGCATTGTCTTTGTTACATTCTCATTTCAATAAGCCTCAAATTTCTTTTTTTTTTGTTTTGTTTTGATAGAATCTTACTTTTAGTTTTTGTTACCTTTTGCTTACTGAGATGTTTCGAAGGTTAGACAATCAAATGTCTAAGAAATTATTTAGCTCGCCATGAGATTGATATGGAGCTCACAAAAGCCAAACAGGCAGCTGAGTCTGAGCGTCTTCTCAAGGAAGGATTGCAAGCGAAGGTAAGTTCATTTCGCTACATCCCCTTAATTCATCTCAAAGCTCCGGAAATTTTTATGCTGCAATCTATCGATCGGAATGTTTTTTTTTTATTCTAGCTCGCAGCATTCGGAGACGAGACGCCTGGAGAGGAAGCACGCCGCCTTGGTGAAGAGCTGGAGAGATTGAATGAGCGACATGCTGAAATCGTTGCCCAGGAAGATCAGAAGAGGAAGCAATTGGTTGAGCATTATCAGGTTCGGCGCTGCTTCTATATTTCTGCTCCTTATTCTCCAAAGATGTTTTAAGGGTCAACTAGCTGAGCTCCAATCTCAGTTCGAAGAGAAGGATAACGAGTTACGAGCTTTGCGGGCTAAACTTGAGGAGGAGCGTGCTCAATTTGCGCTGCAACAAGAACAAAACTCGAAGAATGTGGAAGTGAGGGTTGAGTGATTTTCCCGAAGTTAGAATGGCGTAGCCACGGCGCAAAGTTTAT